TTGAGTTATCTTGGTGGGTAGGTTTCGATTTTGTTTTGTTGGGTCATACACTGTTTGTGTCATCTTGATGGGTTGGTTATGATTTTGTTTTACCTTATAGGGTCATACACTGTTTGAGTTACCAGTATCATGTTAGTTCATTTACTCAGTCATTGACTCAGATATTCATACCTTTCTCATTGTCAATAAATGTTCTTGTTTCGGTAATTTATTTTTTTTAGGATATGTTTTAAAAACTATTTGTTCTGCTGTTTATTTTTTTATGTACCATTATTCTTTTATAGGGTTGTGTATTGCGGCCCAAAATCGTATTGCAATATATTGCGATACTTGACAAAAGGTATTGCAATATAATGCAGTATTGCAATACTTTGATAAATTCAGGGCTTATCACAAAACCCTATTTTTATTTTGAATAGTTTTACTTTAGGTCTTGGACACTTATTGTTTACTGCAAAGCCCATAATATGACTGATTACGTGAATACATATTTCACTTTATTTGTTTTTACTTCTTTGGTCTTGTCTTTTAGTTATATGTGTAATTGTGTAACTAGCAATATGTGTAATTGCTGTTATATTTTACATGTTGACAATGTTACACTATTAGTACTTGTTATATTTTGATAATATTAGCACATGTTATATTTTACATGATGACTATATGTGACTGGCTGCATCTAAATGAGTCGGAATACGGGAGAATCAATAATGAGATAAAGAAAAAATAAGTGAAAATATTGATTTTGAACGAAATTGAGATTTTCACAAAAATGAGTCTATAAATATACTATCTATCGACACAGAAGATCAAAATAGCAATAAAACATTTTAAAACACCTGTATTTGAACGTTTTGTAAGAGTACTGTATTCTTAAATCTGTCCTATTTCTCAAAATTCTCGGCGAAATTAGTTATTTTTCTTCGCTCGCAGTGGGATGACCGGTCATTCCTCTTGCATAACAATTGGCATCGTTGCCATGCTGTCCACACAACTCCTTTGCTGATTGGCCCGGACACCGCGTGCAAGACATTATCGATGTATAGATTGCTGTTGAGTGTTAATCGAAACCACGTGGCTGATGATGTAAATTAATCGACAAGCGGGGGTGTGTCATTGAGTAATACTATTACTAATCAACTGTCATGGGTCAATGATAAAGCCGTCGACAACTCATTATTTACTCCGAATAATTAATCCAAGTGGTGATTTAAAAAAATAATCCATAGGCCTTAAATGGAAATAAACAAAATGGCCAATAATGTTCTTTGCGAAGAGAATTTTATTGATAGCTGAATTCCGTTTAAAGTCGCTTCTTCATACGACATGCAAAGCAAGGAATGCATTTGGGATATTATTGTTTAAAATTCTCTTATCACGACGATTCTCGAGTCTGCCATTGAGTATCCTCTGAATAATGTTCATATTTACATCAAAGCCAAAATGCACGAAAATGAACGTAAGCATTGACTATGAAATTGACATTTCTATAGGGACTCATATTTTGATAATGTCACGGTACCTGAAAATAATAATAGACCTATCGTACACGCAAAATCTTATTTTAATTCACGTGTTAAATGAACACGCGTACAGCGGTTGCGGCTTCTTTGATGATTATCCAATCAACAATCTTAATCTCCCAACCACTAGCTGGCACTAAGGTGCTAATTAATTGATGAGATTAACTGAGTTAATCTCACTAAAGTTATATTATACACAACAGACTACTAATGTATAGATTGTTCTTCAGTATAACACTATCATGCGAATATTATGCCGTATGTGTTGTGGATGTTTTTGCTCTACGAAAGGAGTGCATTTATTACGATTTTTGTCGTCAGCATGCTTGAAATCCTAAATAAAAAACATATTAAACGACAAAATATAGCAAATAAATTGCGGAAATAGTCGGATCAAATTTTTACTACGATTTTCGTCTTCAACACCCCTGAAAACACATGGAAAGATATATTCAACGACAAAACAGCAGATAAATGGCCTTGTTGCTATGGGATTTTGTTTTGGAACATACCAAATCTTTGACTTGCTTTTTCTCAAAACATACTTTTGTGAGTTGGGTAGCTTCTAATGGACACAGCTCGGTCAAATTTTGCCCAATTCAAACAAACTATACATCAAATTGAAGGTAACGAGTTGAAGAATGTGAAAATAACAATAACTCAATTTTCAAAATTTCTTCATTCTGACTCAGTATGCTGTGGGGGGTCCCAATTATCATATTTGCACATGTCGTTATGTTGACATTTTTTGATGTTTTATTTTACATGTTGTTTAGCATTTGTGCTGTTGGTTAATTTCTTATTATGTGTTTTATTTGATTTGTTTTTTTTTAAAAAAAAGAAAAAGAAAAAAGAATCTGTTCTCTTTGATTTATTTTACAATATAGGCCTACTTGTATCATTTATTTTGGGGGGTTGGATGGCCGAATGGTTAGCACGTGCGTGATGTATCATAAGACCTGTCATTGAGTCAACTGGCGTGGTTTTGAATCCCCGGTTGTACGTGACAAGGAGTTGGGGCGATTGTTCAACCTCGTGGGTTTTCTCTGGGTCCTCCGGTTTCCTCCCACTGCTAAAGACCCCTACGCGCAAGTGAATTATTGAAATAAAATTAAACCATATGTTAGTCCCGAAATGACCTAGTTTGTGTCGAGTGGACTTTAAACCCCATTTCTCTCTCTCTCTCTATCATTTATTTTCTTTTGTTAATTGATCTATTGTACCATTGACCTGTTGCTTTAAACTCCCTGAACACACCTGTGTATTACTATTACAATGTCACTTGCTAATTTACACTAATTACCTACAGTATTATATTACTCTATGGGCATTGGGAACTTTATGTTATGTAACTTCTGTGATTTTGTTAGGACATTGAAATTTGAACATTCATATTACGAATGTAGTTATAGCCCTACAATGTACAGATAGTGGATTCAGGCCCATATAAGCATCTTACATTTTTAGTTCTGTTAGTTATTATTGTTCTGTTTGTTATATTCTACATAGTACACCATTGTTCTGTTAGTTATATTTTACATGGGGATCACAGTGGCTAAGTGGATAAGACACTGTCTCGGGTGTTCGATCCCTGCATTGCCTGAGAAAGTTTATCCAGATTTTCCGGCGTGATTCCCCCTTGTCATTGATGCAGGATGAAGGGTCTGACAAGGACAGCTGTCTAGTCGTTTGAATGGGACGAAAAACCAAGGTCCCGTATACACATTGGCATGCACGTAAAAGATCCCTTGACAGTTGGGATTCGATACAAGAGTAGGTCATAGTGCCGCTGTCCGGGCATAACTTCCATCATAGCACACTGTATGGCGTATGCCCATCTTGATTAGCCCAGTTTGTAGCTGAACAGTAAGACATTAAACTCTATTCATTTCATTTATATTTTACATATTACACCATTATTCTGTTTATTCTATTTTACATTTTACAACACCATTATTCTGTTTATTCTATTTTACATATTACACCATTGTTCTGTTTGTTATATTTTACATATCACACCATTGTTCTATTAGTTATATTTTACATATTACACCAATTGTTCTGTTTGTTTGCTTTACATATTACTTCATTGTTCTGTTTGTTATACTGTGTTTTTATATTTTTGTCCGTTTGTTATATGTTATATATGGTAGGATTTGTTCTGTTGGCTATTTTTCCAAATTTTGTAGAGTTTGGCTTTATTTTACATTATTATTATGGTAACATTTGTTCTTTATGTTATTTTAGTCCCCACCTTTGAATAAAGCAGGTGACTATTGCGAAGGTTTTGTTGATTTGTCCGTCAGTCTGTCTGTTTTTCCATCAAACATTTTGGAACACAATAAATCTAATTGAAGTAGATTGTATAGTTTCATTTCATCAATACCATGACTAGTTTGATAATGAACATTTTCTGCTCAGCATTAAACAGAATGATAATATTTGGTTGGTCGAGACTTTGGAAAATGAGAACTATGATTCTAAGTTAAAGTGGAGAAACTTGGTGTGTAATTTCATTACATCAGTACCATGACTAAGTTCAATGATGAACAATTTCTCCTTTGGATGAATAGAGACTTCAATTTGATTGGTCTAGACTTGGGAACAGAATAATTCTGCTTCTAATGATTGTTACATGTTTAATTTGTTCTGTTGTTTATATTCTATATACGTTTGAAATTCACTTTTTGTTTCAAATTGCTCAGTTATGTGTGAGGTATTTTTAGATTTCAGGTATTATTTGTATCTGATTATGGTTGTTCTATCAATCCTATCAGTTTTCTTATCTCTTGTTTGGTGATGGTTTATTTATTAGTTGTTAGGTGGGGTTTTATATTGGAGATTTATATTTTTTGAGATTTTCAAGATACTAAATTAACTTTTTTAGTATAACTAATTTTACTCCAACTATATTTGCTTGTTATCCATTGTAACTTACTAGCTGTCCAAATCCTGTTATTCAATTAAAATCAAATAAAAGACAATCTAGTGGGAAATTAAACTGTATCTTTATTACAAGTATTAAATTATTAAACGAGATAGAATGTTAAACACCTGTATAGAATCCTCTAATTAACCAACAGAAAATTATTGATCAGACGGACATGAAAACTGATCTCAGGTTAATAAATGACGTACTCTGTGACGAGAATTCGTTCGACTTGATAAGACTTTCTCCTGACTTTTAATTAATTATTATCGTGTGTTTTGCCATTGTTGAGTAGCGTAGTGTTATCTGGTTCGTGTTTCGTTGGAGAAAAATAACAAGCAGCACACCTTCGTTGATTTTTGCTATAAATAAGTGATCATTGTTTACATAATTGGGATTATCTCATCTGGTAGATTATATGGCGTGGTTTATACATCACAGACAAAATTCTGTTTTGATCAATAATATGTTTGTGTAAAATTCATTGTTTTATTGAAACTATGGACATTTGTACTACCACTGTTAAGAAGTTTGCTCTTGATTTGTAACATTTTTTTGTGCTTGTTCTGTAGAATTCTGTGGATATCTAAATGCTTATAGTTGGCCGTAGGTTTGATTTTTTGGTAAGTGATTTATCTATTGATTGTGTTTTGAGTTAAATTATTTATTTGCCTGTTTTTGATCCATTAATCAGTTTGGTTGTTTTTGTGAAATTCTAAAATTGTTGAACTATACTATGGAAATAATATATCCAAAACAACTAAGAAATGTTACCATCAGGTAAAGGCCATGCAAGTTAGATTTTCGGTGTGTCAGGATTCCCACTTGCAAAATTAGTGATTCACAATTTTTTTTTTATTGCTTTGAAGATCAGAAATGATATGAAAACGAATATCTGTTAGTAATTTTTTGAACCGGTTCACCTGTGGGAGGAACCATAGTATGCTATGGCTATCAGTGGAGAGATATTATCAAGTAGGCAAAATAGACCCTCCAAAACTATTTCCAAACCCTTCCTCACAACTATTACAGCCTATATTACAACCCTTTAGATAGAGACACTCCATATTAATACCTGTATACAATATTTATTTGTATGGGAGATTGTATAACCACAACATATTTATGTTAGACTACCATTCCATTGAAATTTCTTGCTTCAAATTTCTTAAACTATTTCACATAGAACAGATTTCTTAGAGGTTGGGGGGGACCTAAATATCATTTATGGAATTTTCTGCATTTTTGTTTTATGTCATTAAAGAATTCATAAAATATTTAAAGGAAACTCAGTCAAATGATTGGACATTCTTATACATTCTGCACTTGTTTCTGGATGTGTTATTAATGATGGTCATGGGAACAAACAATATTTGTTCTCTCTGCCCAGTACTCTGATACAACCCCAAAACAAATACATAATAGCTGATTGGTGTGAAATGTTGTCTATTAAATGATGACTGAAGCATGAGTTCTTACGGTAATTAAATGTAATGTAATTATTGGAACTATCAAGCAATTACTTTGACTTAATCGAAACCTATCTTATCTTGCCAGAGACCACTCCAATTGAGCACCAACAGATCGCTCATTTATGAATTAACATTTCATAATTACCTTGGATACGATCTGGGAAATGAACACACAAAAATTGATTTTGAATCTCAGGCCCATATAGCTAGCCCAGAAATGTTGAGGGGGGCAAGGGTTTCTAGGGGCACTGATGTTATGGTGTTAATCGTGTGATTCATTATGAGGCCCCTCGCCATTTTGGGAGCGCCTCATATATAACGACATGATTTGCGCGGCGTCCATAAAATTAAGTGACATTGGTTAGGAGCCCTGCCAATCTCGTCGTGGACAACCAACAAATGTCACTCGGCTTTATGATGTGCCCATATTGATAAAGGCATGTTGGGTACCGATTTTTTCCAGGGATGGGGCCCGAATCTGTTAGATATTGTGCTATTATGGCACTCCCATGTCTCCCTATCTGTTTGGTAGTGTGGTGTTCTAAAAAAATTAATAACAACATAAATCTATAGCAATTGATTTATTATTAAATGTTTTATTTCTTTATGCTTCAGAGATTATTTTGTATCTAATTCCATAACTTCATTAACAATAATAATGTAAACAAAAACTGTAATTAACTAGGAATATATTATACAATTTTCATTAATTCTCTTTGGAAATGATAATATAAAACTTATTGTGAATGTTTCGTAATCTGAAAGATATAAAAACTTCATCAATTCTCAATGGAATATTAATACAAAACTTATTAACAGTATTTGAATATAAGGACGTCCCTGATTTATACCTATTGAAAGGGTGTATGGTAATATATTATATCAATATTGAGATAGAAATCAGGTATTACATATTTACTAAGTGTGTAATGAAGCAGGTTTAATTAAATAGATAATAACAATAGACCACATATAGATAGAATATAATTACTACAACTTGATATTAACACCTGATTCTCACATGTATTCAATAGATATAAATGTACTGGCTGTTTAAAGGGACATCTTCTATGACTGTGTGGGAATTAAAAAAGGCTGGTAGGTCTCAAAGATCTTATAAATTAACAAAAAAAAAATCTATTGTAGGAAAACGACTATTACGTAAATAAGAGAACTGAAGAACAATCATCAGGAATAGAAAAAGACAGAAGAATTGTTGTTATTACCTTATTTACCTAAGATGCATAAAGATAGTGGTTAATTTCAAATCATTATAACACTGATGTAAACTTCAAATGACCACAACTTAAAAACTGAGATTGTTATATTTAGATAAATCTTAGACCAATATATTTATTAGTAAGAGGCAAGAGTAGGTTGGTTACATTTGGTTGCGGAACTCTTATTTGACTTTTATTCTGATATGGGTTGTTGTCTTGTACATTTTTAGTATCTCTGCTTGTGGATTGTTGTGACATCAAATTATAGAATGTAAATCATAACTACCAATAACATTTAAAACTACTAAATTGTCAAAGATATACATGATATCAAATATATTCAAATTGCCTTTTCATTTATCACAATTAGATGTGTGTTTCACAAGATGATAGATCTTTTGTGAACTGTTGTCGATGTGTTTCAAAATGTAAAATTTAAGAATTGAAACCAGAACCTATCTAAATATTTTATTCAGTGTCCAATCTTGAAGCAGTAAATAGAGAATGCATCTTTAAGCAATTGAAATGACTGTATCTATCAATAGTTGATGAGTTGTAGAGTTGGATTGCCTGACTTGAATCCAAGAAAAATATATCATGCAATTATTTATGTGTTTGAAACTTCCGTTAAAATAGATGTCAGTGTAACTTAGAGTCAAATGTAAGATATATCTTAAACATGGTTTTTGTAGGTTGTGCTCGAGCATTAAGTTTGTCACTAGCTGACGAGGCTCAGGTTGAAAAGATCAGAAGACAATCACTGAAATTAAAATCACTTAAGGGTATGTTATATTTTAATTACTTTACTAATCAGTTCTTCCATTTCAGACTGTATAAATGTTAAAGTCTCGCTCTATAGTCTGGTGCACTGCACACTGACAAATTTTAGTGTTTCTAATTATATAATCGAGAAACCATTATCAACTAATTTTATACAATTGTTCATTTAAACTTAAAGTAATATATTATTTGAGAGAAAAAAATTGGCAATTAGGACCTGGTTATCACGAGATAGAAAGGAGCGACCTACTCAACAAAGACACACCACCGAAGAATGACAGGCCTACTCCTCCAGTTTTTTTAATAGACTACAATCTCACCTTGGTTCATAAAAGGAGAGACACTTTGCCCCCACTTCCAACTACCATGACTCTCATCTCAGACAGTCACATGATTTTAAAAAATTAACCCGTACTGAGATAAACTGACTACCACATGACAGTATGTTGAATTATGCTGTATTACATGTTTAATAACCTTATCACATCAGGGAATCAACAACAAAATCTAGACTTAGGCACCCACCCTAACTTTATTTTACTCTGTAATATATTATTTGATTTATATAGGAACTATGTTTTTGTGTTTTGTAGATCTGAGTTTAAGGGATCAGTTTTCAGTAATTAAGAGAAATAGTCCAGCTATAACAGAAATAGATCACCATGAGCATATGATTACACCCTTTCAACCTACTAGTGATAATATACTTACTCATGCAGGTTAGTTGTTCTATTTCTAAAACATCCTAAGGTAGATATTACAGATGATATTAAACAAACCCATTTGATTGTCATTTGAGGGATTTTGAATTCCTTGCAAACTACAATATAGTTAAAGTTGAATCACTAAAAAGAATATCAGTCCAAAAATGCTTAATTCCTTTCCATATTTACTAAGGTTGCATAACATTTAACATTTAATATTTACAAATATGTGCAAAATTTGTATTCTCTACAGACGATATATATACAGCATCGTCAAAACATATCAGTTATTCAATTTGATTACATTTTAGTGTTGGTTAAGCCGTGAAAATTTAGATGTTGTCCGAAAATTGCAAATGACAATGGCAGAATTAAACCTTCTCAGTAAATAAATCCTTCCCAGATACAGGTCGCTAACATGCACGTACCAACTGGTTATTTGTCCTAATTCTGAGAATAAAAAACAACAAATAGTACTTTGTAATAATACAGAAAAACTGTGGTTTAAACAATCTAAATGTTCACATTCACAAAGCAACATTCAGAAGTGATAAAAAATGGAGTGTGTGATAGATTTGTCCAAATTGTTCTGAATTTGGTTATAAATCTATATGTTAATATTAAAACAGTATGATTGTTTGTTACAGAAAGTACTGATGGTATATTAACAGATCAAGATCGATTTGATGTTTTAATGGAGTTGTTACCATGGGAACGAGAATTGTTAAAGAAAGATCCTATTATTGCACCTGATGGTAAGATCTTATATTATAAGGTCTGTCATTGAATCAAATGTTGGGGTTTCAATGCCAGGCTTATAAATGATGAGAAATAATTATGTGTCTACTCTTATGGGTTTTCTGTTGGTTCCCTGGTTTCCTGTCACTACTTAAAACCAGTACAATCAAGCGAATATGATGAAATTAAAATTGACCATATTTATCCCAAGTTGACCTTAAAGCCCATTTTTTCTCTCGCGTTTCTCTTTTTATTAGATTAAATGTTTGATTAATTTTAAATTCAGTAATACAAGATATATAAACCTTTTCAGCTTATAACATGTATCTGATTCATTAGTAGACCTAAATTTTCAAATAAGGTTTTAAGCAAAAGATAGCTTAGTTGTCATGAAGGAATGTGTCTTTAAATGGTAACATGTACAAATCAAATGGCTGTTTATGATTGATTATGGTACAAGAGACTTATGACAGTTTACATTTGAATTTATTTTATTTAAGGATTTATACCAAATTCTGTGGTTAGAAAACGAGTTAATTATGTACCATCACCAGTGCTTCCACCATCACCATGGAGACTAAAATCAGTAAGTTCATCTTATCCGCAATTGTTTTAAATATTTTAACAAGTAGTGCAACATAATATGGTGAATGTATAATTACTGTTTTGAACAAAAGTTATTGATTTTCAAATACCGTAAATTTATTTTTGTAGTGAACTTTATAATTCACCGTGTGACATCTTCTCTTTGATATTTGAGCCTAGCCTTAAGAAATTAAAATAAGCAATATAATATAATAATGTACAAAACGGGAGCTGTTACTAGACACTTTTCAATATACGATATACAGTCAGTAAGTAACAAAAGAAAATGAAATATGGATAGTTCCACAAGTAAACGAGCTTTTTCATAAAATAATAACAACCCTAAAATGATGGTTAACTAGCTGATAGGTTGGTTAATCAATGTTATGGATTTCGTAGATAATCTGTGTTAAGGATTACATAGTTAATCTGTGTTATTGATTACATAACTAATTAGTGTTATTTATTACATAGCTATCAGTGTTCTCAATCTGCAGTCTACTCTGCCAAGGGATCTTTTAGGTGCATGCCAATGTGTACACAGGACCTTGTTTTTTGGCCCATCCGATCGACGATATGTTGTCCCTTGTCAAGTCCTCTGTCCTGCACGACTGACAAGGGGGAACCACTAAATTTGACATCACGGGTCACATATAACAGTTGAGGCCAAAATAAAGACCTGCAATAGGCAGATTTTGTTCTTACATTATGCATCTTTAAACTAGTGTATTACTTCTTTGTTATAAATAAGCCACACAGTTGTAATTTGAGAAAAGAGTATAAGTTGCATTAAATTCCAAATACATTTTGTTCATAACTTTGAAATTCTTGTCTGTCTTCTAAAAAAATATTTTGAATTTGTGATCATCTCTGATAAATGTTTGCATCATTTTGTAACCAAATATAAATATATAATTGATTTAAATACTTGATATAGTTTTGATGTATTGAATGTGACTATTTTATAGGCACCTAATCATGATCCCCGATTTTTACCAGATGGATGGTGTGAGAAAGAGGATGAACCAGAATTAGTTCGCAGGTCTCGTGTATATTCTAGTACTGTAAGTATGTTTGGAATGATTATGAAAATATATAGGATATTATTTTAATTGTGTCCTACGTGTTCCTTTCAATTCTTCAGTCATTTATTATTCAAAGCTCAAGATAGTATTTATCTCAGAATTTTTGTTGTATTTTAATTGTCTACATTAGTTTCAGAACATATTGTCATTTATTTAAATAAGGTAAATAATTATAGGCCTTCTGGCACATTACAGTAAAAAATCAATTTTGTTAATAAAATGATCATTGCAGTCAGAAAAAACTGTGGTCGTTGCTGCACCCGTTGAGGAGACGATAGAAGAGGTTGCTCCACCTGTCAGAAAAATTGAAATACCAGTGTTTGAACCTCTGTCAGTGAAAGAGGAGAAAAAACCCAAACCTAAGAAACAAAAAGAAAAAGTCAAAGAAAAGTGTAGGTTTATTTTGTGTTTCAGTATTTTGATGGTTGCTCCAGACAACAAGTTCTTTCTGATGGACTTGTCCTTTGTCAGTACCTGAAAGTTATTGATATTGTTTGTAAATATCAGATTACTGTCCCCGACTTTTGAAAAAAGAAGAGACTTTTAGAAAAGGGTTGTTGCTCTGTCTGTCACTCTTTTTGGGAGTCATGACTAAGTTTTTAAATTGAGGTAGAGAGAAACTATTTGATTGGTCAAGAAATTTGGACACCATAAAACTGCTTCTAGAATGTTCAAACTTAGTGTAGTTAAGTCATTAGATGAATTTCTTTGCTGAGTTCGATGATTAGCATATTTGTCACCAACTAGGGGACTATTATATTCGGTTCATTAATATCTCACACTTTTTGGGACACAATAACTCTGCTGCTAATTGAGTTAGAATCTTCAAACTTGGAGAAGATGTATGTTAGATGAATCTCTTGACTTAAGTTTAATGTAGAACATGTTCTGCTTGGGAAGCAGAGATGAGAAATTTCATTCGTCAATGGTTTGGAACACGATGACTCCTTCTGTGTGAGAGGGATGAAACTTAATTGTATAGTTTCATTATATCAATAACTTGACTGTGTTTGATAATGAACATGTTCTGATCAAGTTAAACAGAGTGATAAACAATTTGGCCTCACTGTTAGCATTAAAATTACATTTGACCATTCAATAATTATCTGTAATAGTAAGTACAGAAGAACCACACCACATATAACAAACTTGCAGTAAGGCAAGAACACACACACAATATCAGGGCATTGTAATTGATAAATGTATGTATTATCAAATCAATCCAACAGAAAACAACACAAAAAATAAATATATGGTATTAATTTTCAGTCTGCATCTATAAACCATACACAACAAAATACAACTTAGGGTTGTAATTAATTTCACTTTCTCATCATGAAAAACATTTTGTTTATTTTCAGTTGAGTTGAAGAAATACGAGTTTGCTAGACCCAATCTAGATCTAGATGTACATAAAAAGAAAACTGAAGTTATTGATGAAGAGGAAGATCCACTAAGTCCTACTACAATGATTGGAACTTTACCCGATACTGATGAGGTAATATGTATTGTTTGTAAGATGTATTATGCATTATATACACATTTTATTTGCTATGTGAGGAAGAGAGCAATGGGGTTTAATGCCATTAATTAACTGTAGGAGGAAACCAGTAGACGTGGTACAAGGGTTAATCAGCGAACTGGATGTATGAGATGTGTTGTTGACGTTTGGGAAAGTAGGACGAGGGGAAATGTGTAGGGAGTGAAGTGCTGTAAAGGGATAGTTAGATGTATTATGAATGGTTAGAGTGGCTGTGGTGTTACGGTGAAATACTATGCCGCCACCGTAACACCACAGCTTTATGATTTGTTAGACAGGAGTGATGTAATGGGTGTCAACAACTGGGTATGCTGGTACCGTCGCAACGTAGCCGTGAAATATATATTGTGGGGGGGGAGGGCGGAAACGGAAAAATATACAATGTTGACAGTATGTGCCAGGCATGAGGCTGCGCAGACCGAGCGGCAGCCTCGATAGGGAGTGTGTGGGAGGGTCACCCTCATAAAAAATTTTTTTTTTAAATTTCAGTTTTCTGTAAGCAGTGAAAACACTATTTTACCATTGTTTGCGGGGTTAAACCTAAAAATCACATTAATACACCTATTGCACGATATTGTGAAACTAGCTGACGAAGACAGCTCGGGCGGCGATTGTTCGACTCGGGGCTGCTCTGTCAGTATCTAACAAACGCATTTAGTTCGCGTACAACTTTTAAAAACCGAATGTCAGTATGGTATTTCTCACATAATTGGTTATCGCAAAAACAGAGTAAACTGAAAGCGAGTAATCTCGACTCAAACCTATAGTCTATAGCCTACTTACAGTACTACACTCGTCACTAGGCTTCCTATATTATTGTTTGTGGACGGTTTACTACTCAGTGATAAGCCTGCGCCGCAAAAAGAGGTCTCGGTTTTTATTATTAGTATAATGACTTCCTCATGTGCGGCAGGTTAGTTTGCTTCTAAAAACACTGTTTTCCGTTCCAAAAAATACAAAAGTAATTTTCTACCAGATGACCATGGTTCTTTTCACTGAGACTAGATAATTTCTCTCGGTGTAAGGATATAGCTATGGATAAGTTCATACAAGGTCAATAAATCCGCGGTCACTTCGGGTCACACTGTTGAGAAAATAAACCGATGGGTTTGTTTAGTAGCAAATCGAGCGTGAATCAACTGAGTTTGTACTGAAAAATTTTTGAGTGATATGTATGAACTGTCTTCACACATTCGGTTTATAATTAGCGATATACAGGTACAGTGGCAAGTGTTGTACTTCACAGACTGTTTACCTCCGCACGAAATCCCCGATTTGGGTACTTGTTAAAAGAAAAAGAAATAGTACCTGTGCGCATGCCAGTAAAAAAAACCCTAAGAGTTCGCGCATAAAAATGCCCGAACGTACCAGGCGCCAGGTCATCCAGCGAAAATTCATTGGCCAAGGGAAGTAAAAATAGTATAGATAAGATATCTTCTTCCTTCAGTGATCAGTGTGGTGTTTCATCTAAGGAAACCCCTTCTGCTTCCATAACATAATAAGTTTGCCTGTATACTGTATATTAGATGTTTTACAGTCCCTTCCTCAAACAATAAGCAAATAAGAAAAGTATAGCATAAGATATCAGCTTGCTATAAAAATCCCTTCAGCTTCCATAACACCAGTTGATTATAATGATTTTGCCTTTACATACAATCCCTTCCCCTAACTAGAAGCATACTAACAGTTATAAATCTGAATTCACAATTAGGATAACCTCCTTTAAAGCTTGTCACGTCAGCCTCTAACAGAACAGACACAGTTTTGTTGTTAATTTTGTTATGATGTGTTTTTAGGTAACAGTTGATACAAGTACTTCAGATTTAGAATTTGATCCAAGAGACTCTATACCAGATGCTCTACTTAAACTACTTGATGAACCATGGTTTCCTGAATGTGAGATTACTACTGATGCTATACTACTGACACTTATCAATCTACTAGCATCTGATGATCCATTTGTATTCGCATCTGCTTGTGGTTACATCACAGATCTTTATCAGTAAGATTTTCTTTGTTGACATTTCATATGAGTGTATAACTTAGTATATATTTTTGTTGTCCGTCAGTACATTTATTTTTTCCCTCATCTACAAATCTTATAGTCACAGTTATTATTATGTTATTTTTTATAAATTGCTTGGATAATTCAGCTAGCAATAAAAGAGAAAACTCAGACAAAACTCATGGAGGCAGACCACCATTAATTTCCCCATTGACTTCAATGTTAATTCTGGCCTCTTTGCCCACCTCCAATTTTTCCCAAAATTTTCACTACAGACAGAGGAACAAATAGTCATGTCTTTGCACTAAAATTTGTATGAGGTTGACCACCAAAATTTTGAGATACACAAACATGAAGATGCATACTGTAAACATGTAACTATATATATAGTTGCTGTACATATCACCGTAGCCAATCTGATAACTCTGTTATCCTTTCGCCTCAAAATCATGAATATTTGCCAAAATCTGGCAGAAAATGTGAATTCAAACCCTCTTCGTCCATTCTAGACCAAAAAATCAACAACAACGGGCATGCAAAAGGGGAGAAAAGACACAGAGAAAGAATTGCTTGAAATAGACGAACTACACATTGTGGGTACAGAGATGGTGAAATTTAATGGTGGTCTGCCTCCTATTCATGATTTTCTGAGTTTATTCACCTTTCTTTGAAATGGACTAAATAAAGACTGTTTGAGACTATTATTTCACACAATATAATCAAAAACCTTGTTGTATGGAACATAAAAATATAGTCCTATTATTTATAAATCCACTGCCAATTAATATTCCATAACCTGTTCGTGAAAAAGTCACCAATCACCAGGAATTGCGTCATATTTGTCATCTACTTATATTTGCTGCTTTACTCTTGTCTACTGTGCCAAGTCAACAAGCTGGACATTCTCAGGGCAGACTCCCACGAAATAATTTATTTATGATATTAAATGGCATTATTTTATTTCACTCTGAAAACAAAACAATGGTGTTATCAGGATGTGACGTGTGACATGAATTATTGCTTAATTCCATTTTATTTTGCAGTACAATGAATTTAGGTGAAATGCATGGTGATCTAATAGAAGAACTACTACTGAAAGCTTTGGAAAGTCCAGATAGTTCAATTGTACAAAATGCATTAGTTATGATAAGACAATTAGAGCTAAGAAGTCCAAAGTTAATGATGGCTGTTTTACCTATGTTATTGAGTGATGTGGTAAGTAGGGCTTACAACGTGCACATACTCCCCCCCCCCTACAACCCCCACCCCTATTAATCAATTAAGTTGATTTTTTTTGGCAATTGGGATTAATACAGCCTTATCATCATTTAGTTTTAGAGAATTGAGTTTCATCCAGTTTCTTCTTTTCCTTGGAATATTAAGTCAACTGAACATGTTTTGTTTATTCTAAATTATAGCCTGAAGTACGTGCTGAATCAATGTTATTAGTAAATACACTAGCAGGAGTAAATTGTACAGATGGATTAAGAATATTAATGGTAGATTTAGGTATTATTAAATCACTTGATTCTTGTCAATCTGAGGTGAGTACTAAAACACTAATTTTATGTTTGAAAAATAAAAAGCCCCCCCCCCCCCCCAATCTCATTCATTCTTCACAAATAGTTTCAAAAAATTAATCTTATCTCTTATTACTTGTTAATTTGCACATTGATGTTATAATCATCACATCCTTGTTTGTGTTGAAATAATCAGATACATTGTGGCAGTATGTATGGTTTTCAGGTCTTCAATCTGTAAACAAATAAGAGAAAACCATGTGTTTTAATTAAAATCTGTGAAACAAATCCAAAAACTACACAGTACGTAGGGCCTACTGGTAATACAGTTCACATGTAAATAGTCACTACATATGATTTAAAGTCATAATATATTAGCCAGTGCAAGAAGTGAATCCAGAATGAAGTATTTGCATGATGTCTAGGTGAATTTATAAGATGTTTGACTTATGATTGGTACAAAAACTATTACCATTAATCTGTAGTTACTGGTTACTTCAATGTTATATTGCTTGTTCATACCTTATATAACCTGTCATTTTGTTCACTATGTAAAAGTATGGACAGAACTAGCCCACGGTCTGTTCTCTGAAATATATCTTAAGTTCATTCGCATTAAATCTCTTGAACCAGTGTACCGGAGCAATTCTGCTTCCTTAAATATGTGTGAACAGAAAGTCATCTAAAAATTTGCCTTAAAAAAATGTTCATATGCATGACTATAGTATGAATTTAGAACTAGATAGTAAGGCTGTGTTTAGATATTATTATAAAATTCAATCACCCTTGCTTTTTTAAAATGTTTTTGTTTTAGAGAAATCAAACATAGAAATAAAAGTTATATTTATTTTTGCAGCTAGAAGCTTTGGCAATATTACGTGAGAAATTAGGAATTCCTGAAAAGATAAATCCGGAAGAACATGAAAATAGAGTAACCAATTGGGTAGGATCTTCGAAGCCAGGCATTTTTGATAAAGAGGTTAGGAAAATTACATTTTGATTTTGACAAAACAAATCTATGAACAATAGCATTATAAACAAGGCTAAGTCATGTTGTCTTTATTCATATCATATTTGTATTTGTAGAGGCAAAAAAAAGAAAAGAAAACACGTCAAGACGCATTAGTCAGACGGTGGAGCCTTAAGGCTAAAATACAACGGTCAGGGCAGTTAGAGAACAGATTAATAGATGATTCTTCTCCAGAGGATGATATGTGGCAGCAGTTAGATCATACGCGGAAACATGGCGAGTCCAATACAGAAGATGAAGATGGTCAAGCACCTAGAAAACTTCCAGAATTGCCTCAATTATCAGATCCATTTGATAAACCAAGGCCAAAGAGAAAGGGTATTGTGTTGTATTATATATATAGTGAACTCTGTCACATCTGGCTTCTGAATACTGCAGCATTCTATGAAATCCTTTATCATTTTCATGTCCCGATTTAATTTCTTATTACTTCAACCCCCAAAATTTCTAGTAATCTGAATTCTACATATTACGAAATCAATCAGTGGTCCCGGCCGTCACACAATTTGCATTGAATTAACCTTGTATAATCCGGTCTTCAATCCGTCGTTGTTCACTTACAGAAGATTGACAAGCAATCACCAATCAATTATGGGTGAGATTAATACTTCTGTCTGTCTTTGTTGATTACCTTGTTATCAACATAACGATGCACGATTGTTTTAACATCAAAACCTTTAAACATTTGGCACACCTCGGCCAATTCTACAAATCTAGGGTACTGGAGTCTGCAGAGGTTTGTCGAATGAGCTTTTAAAGTTAATGGCGAAAGTACAAGTGTTGATCTCGATACCGTTGAAGAATTCCACATGCGCATTCTGTCTATTATTGAAGGGTATTCTCTGGAAAACATTTTTAATTATGATGAAACTGTTTTGTTTTTAGAGCATTACTCGACCAATCATTGTGAGATAAAAATGAGAGCGCTATAGCAATATAAATATTAAATTTTTGACACCAAATACATACAACCGAAAAACGTTATTCTTCCGGTATTTGAAGGTACAATAATACTTTCGGTATTGAGTATTCCTTCATGCTCTGTAATCCGGCATATTTGAACGATGTCGTATGTGACAGAGTCCACGGATATTTTTTTTTTTTTTTTAAACTGCAATTTTTTTTTATATGCCATAATTGTTTTTAATGTGGACTTATTATGTTCTCACCCCTGTCCATCCAGATGTCCATTCACATTTGTTTATGGACACTCTGCAGCTCCTTTAAAATAGCAAGTGCATGGGATTCCACCACATACAAAAAATTAGAAAAGCATAGAAAACCCCCACAAAACATAGCAATATTTGTTTTTGCACAATTTCAATAGTAATGCAATTAACAGTTAGAACTGTTTTGACAGTTGGGTTAAATTTTGATGCAAGTTTTGAAATACAGATATCACTATTTTAAAACTAAATCCCCCCCCCCCCCCCATTCATGAAATTTCAAATTGTCCATTTGTTCTCTTATATTTTAGAAAAAAAGAAGAAGAGAAATATTGATGCAGCAGATCAATCTACTCGTGTACCAAATGTTAGTCGTGTATCTGTTTATAAAGAAAGTTCTAGTAGTACATGTACATATACATCAGCAACCTCACATACTGTTGAATATTGGAAATCACCTAGTACTCTATCAGATGATCTGTTTGATTATTATTCACCTAATGATGAATATTCAGAAATTTTTTCAAATGAAGAGAGTGTACCAAGGTAATTTTTGTTTTCTAACTATAACTCTTGACAGAACAACAAAACCCTCTTTTTTATTAAAACTTACTCTTCTCCATCACCGATTGATTAATCACTGCCTGAATATTTTTTCTCCTGTCTCTTTTTCAAATTTGTGTGAATTTTTATTGTTATTTTTTGTTGTTGTTGTTGTTGTAACAATGAATTACTTTTTGAATGAGCACACTGTTCCCATTACTTTATGTTTCAAAACTTGGAGTCTTGTAGTGTTTTGTTTGTTTTAACCATATTTTGAATTCTTAATTAATGTAAATAATTTTTGAGTTCATTTTAGTTGATTTTCTTTTGTAATTGAGCTTTGAATTATTTATTTGGGGTATTATTATTTCGGCTCAAACAAAAATCACACAAACATTTTTCTGAGCAATAACTGATTTTTGTGTATTAAAACAGTCAAGAAGCCCAACCAAATCAGTTTATAGATTATAGAATAGAGAAGTCAGAACAAGCCCGAGTAATGCCAGAATATAAGTAGGTTTTTTATGTATGTTTTATAATTAATGGTTTTCACTCCATTGAGTCAACTGGCGTGGTTTCGAATCCCCGGTTGTACGTGACAAGGAGTAGGGTCGCCTGTCCAACCTCGTGGGTTTTCTCTGGGTCCTCCGGTTTCCTCCCACTGCTAAAGACCCCTACGCGCAAGTGAATATTAAAATAAAATTAAACCATATGTTAGTCCCAAAATGACCTAGTCTGTGTCGAGTGGACGTTAAACCTCTCTCTCTCTCTGATATACAAATTAAATGGCTGAATATTTATTTTAAAATATTGGGCTGGTGATTTATGTAGTAATGGATGATGTGCATGAGGCAGAATGTGCTTACTTTTTCTAAAATATGGTGACTTGCGGAATTCCAAGGCTAACAAATTTTGTTGTACTGTTGTGAGTTTAATCCTTGAGTGGCATTTAGTGATTGAGTACATTAAAAAACACAACACAATTTATAATTTATATGGAAGACAATCACTGGTTTATACACATATAGCGCGACGTTTCGACAAGTATTCTCTTATCGTTTTCAAGTACAAATGATAGGGTAATTGATATGGGGTTAACATATAATCAAAGCATGAGGAGTCACATGTAGCTAATTAAGCAATTAACAATTAAACTAGAACAACGCAAAAGTGGGGTACTTTAACCTGTTAAAAAAACACAGCCCGCTAATCGTCTTTGAGATGGGTTCTTAAAGGTTTCAGTTTTTTTATGACATGCACTTTTTATTACCTTTTATGGAAACTTGCAATTTCAAGTTTGATATGCATGCAAAATTAACTGCAACTCTTGACTGTGGCTTATATAAAATAGCTTATAGCATGATACACAGATTCTGTACCTAGCATGATTTCTTTAGTTCTTTATATATTCTCTTTTCATTTTATATTTTCTGTCTTCTTTACTACACCAAATCTTTTTTCTTTCCTTTTTTGTGTGTTTGTGTCTTGTTCACAGGAAGAAACAAAAACAATTCTTTCGACCTAAACTACCAAATTTTGGAGCATATTTAGAAAAGAAATTAAAATGTATGAAGTATAGCAAGAAAACAGGTGGGTAAATATAGGTGTGAGGTCAATTATTGTAAATTACATGATTATTTGATATGGGTATGAACTGGTAAAAATTCTAATTAGCTGTTTGATAGCCAAGAAGCTAAAATCTAAATTCTCTTTAGATCCATGTTTCTTATTCAGTTTTCCTCAATCATAGTTTGATTCTGTTGCTAATTGACCAATTGGTGTGTTTCAAAGATTTGCATATTTAATTTCTGATTGTCCTCGTATGTAGATTGATTCTAGATCTGGATTTTCGGTAATCAAGCCCATCTTGATTTACCAATATTTGAGATAAAATGATGATATTAAATATGATGTATGTATTTCAGTTTTATAGATGAATCTGCAGAGGGTAGGTCAGGAGGGAGGTTCATGGAATATACTTATGTTTAATGACATTTACACTTAAATAAGAACAATGAAACGCCATCACTTAGTTCTTTTTGGTGAGGTTGATGATGGAAATTAAAGGAGCCCTAATAAATTCAACTGAAATAATTTTTTAATGATTTTCTCATTTCCTTCACCTTGTGATTATTGGTTTGATACAAATTCCATCTAATAATCAGAAACGATTAATTTTATGGCTAAGAAATTTAAATTATGTTAAATATTTGACTGTAAGTGTAGTGGTAAGTATTGACCAGCAAAACCTCCCTTATAAATATATAATTGTAGTGTCAGCTTTTCAATATGATCACTGTCTAGATTGCAATTCACTGATGTAAACTACTTGTGTCTCCCTGTCTACTTGTCTCCCATGATGTAAACTACTTGTCTCCGTATCTCATGTAAGACAAGTAGTTTACATGATGTAAACAACCTGTTTCAGTGTCCGTCCCATATTTTATCCCTCCGCCTTTCGAAAAAAGCAGGGCACTATTAAAATGGGTTTGTCCGTCTGTCCGTCCGTCTGTCTGTCACACTTTTTGGGACACTATAAGTATAACTTTCCTTCTAATTGAGGTAGGGAAGCACTTGCAAAATTTAGATTTTGGTCTCACTAATATATTCTGTGATGCTCAAGATCTTAGTCTTGAAATTGGATCAAAATTATTTACTGGTAGCCTGTGATGGAGGAGTATATGCTATTGCTCGTGACGTACAGCTATGTAATCCTGATAGTTTAAAAACACTGTCCTTGTATTGGGAGCATTTCACATGGCCAAAATCTTGCCTCGGTGCATAGGCAGATATGTACAGAACTGGAATATCTAATGTTTTGATTAAATGTTCTGTATTTGGAGTAAACATAGTAGAATCTGTTTTACAAGGAAACCAGCGGCTGCCAGGCAGGATACGCCCACATTTTCGAGAGATGGATACAGAACAAGCTAACAAGAAAGTGATTTTTCCTACAATCAAGGGCCATAATTCAGGAAATTACAATTCGATATGCGCATATATCGAAAGGAACTGAGATCTTTGTGTTATAAACTTACATTTCAAGTTTCAACAAAATCGGATAAAAATTGTTACCTCTATAGGGTCCACAACCTTGATATACCATATTTTTAGGTTATTTGAGAACAAACGGCGGCCATTTTGTCTGTCAATTTTGGGGCGATTTTCACAAAATTCAAACTCAACTGTCCTTAGGGTGGAAGGGTAATATAATAATACGGTTTTTTAAATCGGATAAAAATTATGACCTCTAATGGGTCCACAAGCTAAAAACATGATTTTTCGTACAATCAGGGGCCATAATTCAGGAAGTTACGGTCCGATATGGGCAAATATTGAAAGGAACCGAGATCTTTGGGTTATAAACTTATATTTCAAGTTTCAACAAAATCGGATAAAAATTGTGACCTCTATAGGGTCCACAACCTTGATATACCATATTTTTACGCTATTTGAGAATGAACGGCGGCCATTTTGTCTGTCAATTTTGTGCCGATTTTCATGAAATTCAAACTCAGTCGTCCTTAGGGTGTAACGGTGATATAATAATACGTTTTTTTAAATCGGATAAAAATTATGACCTCTATAGAGTCCACAAGCTAAAAACGTGATTTTTCGTACAATCAGGGGCCATAATTCAGGAAGTTACGGTCCGATATGCACGTATATCGAAAGGAACCGAGATCTTTGGGTTATAAACTTAAATTTCAAGTTTCAACAAAATCCGATAAAAATTGTGACCCCTATAGGGTCCACAACCTTCATATACCATATTCTTACGCTATTTGGGAACGAACGGCGACCATTTTGTCTGTCAATTTCGGGCCGATTTTCACGAAATTCGAACTCAGTCATCCTTAGAGTGTAACGGTGATATAATAGAACGGTTTTTTAAATCGGATAAAAATTATGACTTCTATAGGGTCCACAAGCTAAAAACGTGATTTTTCGTACAATGAGGGGCCATAATTCAGGAAGTTACTGTCCGATATGCGCAAATATCGAAAGGAACTGAGATCTTTGGGTTATAAACTTACATTTCAAGTTTCAACAAAATCGGATAAAAATTGTGACCTCTATAGGGTCCACAAGCTAAAAACGTGATTTTTCGTACAAACAGGGGCCATAATCCATGAAGTTTCGATCCGATACATGCCAATATCAAAAGCAGCCGAGATCTTTAGGGGATAAACCTATATTTCAAGTTTCGTCGAAATCGGATAAGAATTGTGACCTGTAGAGGGTCCACAAACAATTGTGGACGGACGGATGTCCGGACGGACAGGGGTGACGGCATAATACGTCCACATGAAAATGTGGGCGTATAAAAATTGTACAAGAGGATTGAAGGGGATGTTAATGTTGGGAGAAGTCTTCTTTAGGTTACAAGTAGCATCATTCATGAAAAACCAATCTGCTCATCCCTATAAGTTCAAATTTGAAAATCTGCGTCAAATGCAACAGAAAATTTTCTTAGCAGTAATGAATAAAGCAGATCATCTGGATCTGGACGTTAATGCTGAAAATATAAAATGTTTCAGAGAATTTGTGGATAATGGAAGGAATATATCAGAGCAATTTCTGTATTGGGATAATTTCTTGATACTTGTACAGATTCTTGGGAATTTGATCTGATTTGATAGACAAGGTTTTGTGGCAATTGCATCTAGATACTGTACAGAAACATCAGCCAGTATTTGCTGTGTTTGATTGTATAAACTATTTAGACATGGTCATCCTTATATCTTGAAGACATGAGAAGATTACCTAAGACTGCACCAGAAGTTCATGAAATGTTTTTAATGAGGAAATATCTAGATAAATGGAATAAATGTAAATTTACAATTGTAGTTGCTGACATGGCATTAAAGCAGACCCTTAACAGATCCCAGAAGAACTCAGCAGGTATCATAGGACGAACAAAACAAAAAGATTTTGTTGCAAAATGGGAGATTACCCACCATGAGCGACTAATGATTTCCAATTTCTTTCGAGAAGTGACAAAGACCATTCTCTCAGTTGATGAGTTAAATATTCATCACAGACTGTCCAAAACACAAACCCAATGTTGGGAAGAAAGAGTCAACAAAATGTTCACATACATTTTAGTAAAAGGAAACCCATTTGAAGTTACTCCTAATCCACTACACAATCTAATAATGAATGTACTTGTTTCACAAGAAGTTGAGGAAAAGGTTTTAAAATTATTTGAAACAGGTGATAGTTTATATTATGAATAAGAATATCTAATAGTAATACATGGTTATGTTACCAGCATTCAACAGAGTAAAAATGTAGCTACAGCTACTATTGGTAAATCTACTAATTATAAGAAAAGGTTGAATACTTCAACACATCGTATAATAAAAATAGCCCAAGCTTGTGGTTATGATATGCACAAACTCTTCTCTTGTGAACTTTCTGAAAATTGTCAAGTTGTTGGATGATCATGGATTGTTGACCAAATCACAGAAATAGAGAACAGCAACACAAAAATTGATAAAAAGCATCACCCAGAACAGTCGATTGTGTCTTTGATAGTTAACACAAACTTTCACCCAAACAACCAGAGAGATTACAAAGACAGATTAGTAATATCGTCATTGATGTCAGTCATGTCTCAAAAGATGCAGACCTGCCTGTTCAAATGAATAGTTTTTGGGGGTCATCAAGGAATAAACTTCTCTTACAGGAGGAGTTCACTGCCAATACAATGATAACATTTTTGATTCACACTCCATCCACCAAGAAAACTTTGATTCTGTAAAGTTTCACTACCAGGTACTTCAAACCCTAACTGAGTTTGATTGTGAACATTTTCTGCTTAGACTAACTATATAATCAGTTTGATTGCTTGATACTTTTAAAAAAAATAAATGTACAAATCAATTAATATGTGTCATCCATTTCTTTTGGGATTGTGGCGGGGACAGCAGCCTTACTGTCTTGTTCCTTCTTAATGAAATGACTGATTATTGTACCTTCCTAATAAAAGCACTCTGGTTGTTGTTCCTTCTTAATAAAAATAGCTCTTATTGTTGTTCCTTCCTAATAGAAGAAATGCTCTTTCTGCACTTCTGCACTTATCTTTAAATTATTAGATCTTTGCACTTAATGCAGTTAAGCTATGAACTCAATGATTTATATTTTAAACAATGCACACACTGCATGATTATTATTATTATTATTATATATGCATGTGATCAGCAATTATAACACTATTTAACTGTGTGTATCATTATTATTGACATGATGTATATATATGAAATACTATGCTTAAAGGAGCTGCCCCAGATTTTACAGAACATAGAATGATATAAATGGGTTTAAATATGAAAATTGAACCAGAAATGGAACTCTAATTAATGTGTCTGAAAGTTTCAGCTCAAAATATTGAACCATTTGTAAATGTTAATAAATTGAAATGGCTTTAAAGGGTTTTATAACTTAAGTTGTTGCCTCATGTGACCAGATACAACTCTTGAGTGTCTTTTTATAACTTTGTCAAATTGAGAATTGCAAAATAGAAAACATGTATTAGCATGTTTTCAAAATTCTACTTTTCTCTGGAAAATTTAATTAAACAAATGCAGCCCATAGAGATATCATAGACATTTACAGTGTTTGTGTATCGATATATTGTGTTTAATTGTGTATGAAAACTGAATACTTTTTTTCAAAAAAACTATCATAGAGGTTGGTGTCGGCTTATTTCCTACAAAACTATGTAGCTGTATCCATTAAAATATATCTTTAACAGCTCCTTTAAGGTCTATGACTTTATCTGTATGTCACCTAGCACTCTGTATATATACATAGATAATCTATAGCTTATGTAGTAATTACTGGATTTAACCCAATTGTCTATGGACATAGTCAATTACCTAAAAACCAATTGACGTCTGAATAGAAATCATACCCCCATGAAATAAGAAACACAATATAGCCTATAATTCCTTTTTACATACATATGTATTCTGATCTTTAAACTATACTTTATTTGTAAACTTATGGTATATCCATACTTATTCATATTGTATATAAGAAAATAGTGGAATTATTTAGGATTTTGTACAGTTCTGTGCTTGAAGTGTTGGAGCATATAGTTAGTATTGGAATTACTTGTGAATTTAAAGTATCACTGAGATTTTGTAACCATTATTTAAGAGTTTTGTTGCTTGTATGTGGCATTTACATCAAGGAGATGGTTAAAAAAAATAAAGAGCTTTCCTGAAATGAAATATGAATGTCCGATTTTGTGAAGTATGGCCAATTCATTTTTGAAGACACTGAGGAATGGAAATTAATTATATATTATGGGTGTTAAGAATTTAAAAAAGAGGATTGAATGGAGTTTATACTAAGTGTAAAAATGGGGCTATACTATATACCGGAAAACACCTAACCCTAACCCTAACCCACCGCTGGTCCTCTGGAAAACACCGGAAAAACCTAACCCTAAACCTAACTCCCCGCAAACAGAGTACCAGGCTCTGGGTTACCTATTTAGGGTGTTTTCCGCTATATAGTGTGTTTTCCGCTATATAGTGTGTTTTCCGGTATTTAGTGTTTTTCCGGTGTTCAGTATAACATGGTGTTTTCCAGTAGTTTTCCCGTAGTTTTTCAGTGTTTTCCGGTGTATAGTATTGTCAGTAAAAATGTTCCTCGTGTATCTGTTGGAAAATTATTATTATTATTTTTTTTTTTTTTTTCAGCTTCAACAAAACGTGGTTACTACAAACCTAGAGCGGCTGGTATGTTGATATTTAATATAGTTTATTTGTATTTATGATTTGTAATAGATATTAGACTTATAAAGTGGACCAGTACTTGTCAGGTGACCCCCTCAAAATATTATGAAAAAAAATATATACAAACTTATGTAAAACTGCAAGGTTATATGACTCTGATATTGACTGGGATATGGCCTTTTGAATTGGGGTACCCTTTCACGTGTTTTCAAACTACTATTCTATGACTCGATTTTGGTGTACTGATTTTATATCTTCTTGTTAGTCTATAGTCTTGAAATTTTGGGGTGTGCAAGAGAATGTTACATAGATTAAGAATTCACCATTAAAAACATGGAAAATTCAGGATTTGTAACATGTTAAATATTTACATTTTTCGCCCTTTTGAAAGGATATCACTTCCAGTACTCTCATTATCATCAAATCACACCCTGTAACAGCAAGCTCATGACTACTCATAGCTTCTTTAATCTGTATTTTAATATTTTTCCTATAATCATCCTAAGTATGAATACTATACTCCCCACTGATTATAATTAATCCATTAAAATCGGCAAAAAATGAAAATATCATACCCTGATTCAAAAAGTCTTATCTCAACCAAAATTAATGCTAGAGTCATATAACTTTGCATTTTGTATGTACTATAACATATATTTTCTTCATAATTTTCTGTGGGGGGTCACCTGACAACTTTTTGAGAATTTGATACACTTAACATGGAATGACCCTGTATGTTTAACCTTGTCACATATTTTATGACTGATTTTAATTTGTTTCACCTAGCAGAAAATAATTGATTTTACATTTGATAGCATGTAAGAATGTAAAATATTTTAATGTCATTAACTTTAAAGAGGCATTATAGCCGCTTATTGGTAATAAAAAAAGAAATATCATTTTGATTATAATACATTTACATTGTGCATGTTTAAAATCAAACTGTTTGAAATGGTTATTTTTTTCCCTTTAGATGGACGAAGAGAAAAAGCTCAGTTTCAAGCTGGCCCTAGTGAAAGATTAAAAGAATATGCTAAACTTAATCGATGTATAAAAGAAGTAAGTACACTGTGAAAGGGTTCGTGTAATTTTTGTCCCATCCGAATGACGAGATTCTGTTCCTTACCATGCCCTCCATCCTGCACCACCGACAAGGGAAACCATACAAGGTACTTTCTCAGTCGACACCAGCAGTATCAAATCCTGGGCCTTATGGTGAGTGAGCCAACATCTTGGTCACTAAGCCACTATGACTTCAATTTCAGGGTTATAAACTTACCATGTTTACATGATTTCCTGTTTTATCTTAATTTGGAAAACATTTCATGGTTTTTGCTTTGATGGCATGTATATGCTAGTCAAATATAGTACATAACTTTTAAAAGGTTCCATCAATCATTACATGACCATTTCTTCAAAATATGTAATGATTACTTTTCATTATCATTATTCCAGGTGTAATTATATGTTTATCAAATTTATATCTTGTATATTAGGATAAAGATTTCTTGAAAAAAGCATTGAGTAGCGAATCACCAGAATCATCTGATCAACGTAATATATTAAAGGTAATTAAAAATTCTTTACTGGATTTTCTTTTTTTATCTTAATTCTGAAAACATTTCATGGTTTCTCCTTTGTGAGTCTTTTTAATTCCATTGATGGTATGTAAATGCTAGTCAAATATAGTACATAATTTTTATACGCCAACATTTTCATGTGGACGTATTATGCCATCGCCCCTGTCTGACCACAATTTGTTCGTGGAGACTCTGCAGGTCACAATTTTTATCCGATTTTAACAAAACTTAAAATATAGGTCTATCTCCAATGATCTTGATTCCTTTTGATTTTTGCATTTATCGGACTATAACTTCATGGATTATGGCCCCTGATTCTGATTGTACATAAAATCACATTTTTAGCTTGTGGACACTATAGAGGTTACAATTTTCATCTGATTTTGATTAAGACCTTGGTCATAGGCGTATGGGGAAATTTTTGACTGTGCGGGCGGTGGTGGTTGGTGCCCAAAAAATGAAGTTAGATTCTTAGTATGTTACATAATAATAATAAATTCGCTGTTAAATTGGACACATTCAAGAACACAATATTTTTTTATACAACTTTTACAAAGTACAATTGTGTGCCCAAATTTTCCCAGCATTTGGTGCCCAAAATGGGGGTACGCCTATGACCTTGGTTCCTTTCAATATTTGCACATATCAGATTGTAACTTCCTAAATTATGGCCCTTGATTGTACAAAAAATCGTGTTTTTAGCTTGTGGTCCCGCTAGAGGTCACATTTTTTATCCAAATTACAAAAATGTTCGAATATATCAGCATTAAACCGTAACGTCGGTTGAGTTTGTATTTCATGAAAATTGGACCAAAACTGTTGGAAAAACTGACCACCCCTCGTATGCAAATTACTGTAAAAATATGGTACAACAAGGTTATGGAACCTCTAGATGTCACAATTTGGATGAAACTTGAAATGCATATTTATAACCTTTTGATATTCCTGCATATCAGACTGTAACTTCCTGGATTATGGCCCCTGATTGTACGAAAAATCTTGTATTCTCTAGAGGTCACAATTTTTATACGATTTTAAAACTGTTTAAATATGTCACCATTCCACCATATGGCAGATGAGATCGCTTTTCATGAAAATTGGACGAAACTGCCTGACAAAAGTAAGTAATAAGGTTGTGGACCCTCTAGAAGTCACAATTTTTATCCGATTTAGTTGAAACTTGAAATGTATGTTTCTAACCCAAAGATCATGGCTCCTTTATATATTTGCGCATTACAGACCATAATTTTGTGGATTATGACCCCTGATTGTACGAAAAATCACTTTTGTATGAAGCTTGTTCTCTATCCATCTCTTGCAAAATGTCAACCGCTGGTAAAAGGTTCCATCAATCGTTACATGACCATTTGTTCAAAATATGTAATGATTACCTTTCATTATCATTAATTATATGTATATCAAATTTATATCTTGTATATTAGGATAAAGATTTCTTGAAAAAAGCATTGAGTAGCCAATCACCAGAATCATCTGATCAACATAATATATCAAAGGTAATTAGAATTTCTTTACTTGAATGGGATCCGGAACTGCCAGTCATTTCAAATATGAAAATTACCCTTAAATAAATAAATTTATCAGATGTAAAATAAAAATTCTCTGTTTTGTTTCAGTTGATGATGTGTACATCTTGACTTAATAGAGTATTTTCACTTAAAACTGACTCTTAAATCTTTGGATGTCTCAAATATTCTTGAAAATCCAATATTCTTGCATCAAATTTGGTTTGATTTGATTGCTTGATATTTGAGGGATTTTAATTAGTTAAATAAAAATGTGTTATTTTCTTCAGGGTGGAGAAATGATGAAAACTAAGAGTTCTTCAAAGAGTGATGAAATAAAAGATGTTACAAGAAATGGAAGACAGTCATTGAAGGTATATAAATATATAATGTATTATTGAACTGTCTGACTGTATATACTTGAATACATTAAATGTTTATTTGGGGATTACAGCCTCACTGTTGGCTAGTTTTAGTTACTGTCGTGGATATGATTGCAATATAAAAATAATGAATACCCGTATGTTAATGAGTTTATTTTTTCAGATGTCTTTAATTGAAGTTGAGAACACAATAAAAACAAATGGTGATCATAGAACTGCAACACAAGACAAACAGGTAATATAAGAATTCTTATTAATATAGCTTGTCAAGTGTTAAAAGTACAGTTCAAAATGGTCCAGGGTTGTTATTGAATAAACAGACTGAGGTCACTCATTTTCCGCACAGTCTCCATTTAAAAATTCATTTAAAACAATTGTTAGCTTCAACCCTATTTCTAAGTCTTTTCCACATTATAATACATTTATTTCTTGACGTAAGCGTGGTTTATTATTAGGTGGGTTTCAATAGGACCAAGTGTATAATATTTTAAAATATTGATACAGTTGAATGGTATCATTCTGTAACTTTAGACTGTATATTGTAGTTAAGAGTAAATGAAGTGTAAGACTTTTCACCAAAGACTATTTTGGCCATACAAACAAAAAATCTGGTTCTCAGACAATCCTACCAAATATCTGATGCTGGAGGGAGGTTTTTATTTTGTCAAATGATTAACCTACAGGCTGCTAAATGACTTCTCATAAACGTCACAGTTAAAGCATTTATTAGGGTTGTCTACTGGATAAATGAGCCTATGCCACATTTCTGGATTCATTAAAAAACTTCCTGTAACCAAGTTAAAATGTTTCTTTTGGTAATTAATGAGACTTTTTTTTTATTTTTAAAAATGAAAACGAAGCATGCAGCTCTTTTTAGGTGATGCAAGATTTCCTGAGAACCAGGTTTTTTTTTATATATATATATATGACCTTTGTTGTTATTGGTAAATATGTTACATTAATAGAGTCAGTTAGCAGTAGTATATCTATTTATCTATAATAAGATAATTACTAATTATCAGGAAATACATGTAGCCTATCCATATTGTTAATTAATCATTATGAGTTAATTATTCAATATCTCAGTATATTTGGTATATATCAATATACTGAACAAAATGTTACAGTACTATTTGTATTACATCATGTGAATTGACAGGAACAAGGAGATAGCAGTAAATCATGGAGTTCTCCTGAATCAAACAAGAGGAGATCTATTAGCAATCGACGATCTATAAGTATTGAATCAGAATCACAGAAGCGACGATCTATAAGTATTGAATCAGAATCACAGAAACGACAATCTATAAGTATCGAATCCTCTTGTTCTCAGGAATCAGTTATTAAGGTAAAAAATTTATGATAAAAGTAGTAACAGATTAATTAAATTGTTCTTAACCGCTTTGTTTTGGTCTATGATACAGATATTCTTTCAGTATGAAATTCAATACTTTCTAAACCTCTGATGTAGGTTTTGATACAGCAAACTTATCTATGTATAAATCATTTGTCTGTCTGTTGAGGGTTGGTGGCTACACTTGTGCTGCCCTGAAGCTGAAATTTGGGGTATATAATGGCAGCTTGAGACGGGGAATGACATAGGCTTGGTGCAGTTGTACTACCTGCTGGTTTCAGAGTTACGAAACTTTTGGTTCAGGGCATTATCAGTGCAATGTCGGATTTAAATTTTGATACTATATATAGAAAGCAAACAAAATGTATCAGAATTGAGAATGCATTTGTTTTGGTACTACACAATAACCCTTGATTTAGTAATAAAGATATGAATAGTTATTTCATCATTGCAGATTCTGATTTTGTGATGTCTTTTATTTTAATATTAATTTTATGTATTATAGAAAGAGGAATTATTAAAGAAAGCTGTAATTGTTAACATGGACGAAAAAAAATCTCATCTAAAGGTTGGTTATTTATATTGGACCTGATGAATTTTTCATGAATATATGGTTGTATATTGCTGTTGCCCTTTTATTTTATCCATTCAATCATTGACACTTTGTTGAGTGGAGTTCTTGACCAACATGTCCGACTAAGTAATAGTGTCGTAATAGAACTCCTACCCAGTTATCAGTTTTATGGAGAGCAGAAAAACTTGCATGAGTAGGAATATTTGTTCCCTCTCGCACTCATTTTATATCTGATATCCTCTTGTCTTTGTTACTCAAGTCTTTTAAATCTGTAAGTCAATGTTTTGTTGAAAAACTTGGTGGAATTTTTCAGCTAGTTGTAAAGCTACGCGTTCATTTTAAACCAATACTTTGTACAGGATCTTCAGGTTTTTAATTGTTTGGCGAGCTGTAATTAAGATCCCAAAAATTTGAAAGCCAAAAGGTTGTTAATGGGTGTGTTACCTGTCAACACAGTTTTTTAATATTATTTTAGAATTTTTTAAACACTTAAAATTGTTCTAATCATGGATTTGATGAGTAGCTAGTCAATGACTAAAAATTTAATGACCAATTTATTTGATAATTTACCCCATGATAATAAGATACACTAAGCCAGTAATTAAGAGTTAAATTATTTATAATGTGAAGGTATAATTAATTATATTTTATCAGGAGAGAATTAGTGAAGAGGAGATGAAGAAGACTTTAAGTGAACAAGACCACATCGCAACCACAAGTACTAAATACATGAAACAACATTCACTAGACTCTTCATATTCCCAACAAGGAGAGGTAAGACTGTAATTGTTAAAATCTTATAGAAGGAATCTATGTGTAAATTTATCTGTTAATAATTGTTAAAAAAAAATAAATAAAACCAATTGTCTTCTTGATTGATTGATGTCTTAATTCGTAATATTCAGAATCCGGACTACTCAAAACTTTTTGGTTGAAGTAATAAGGAAATAAATCTGGACATGAAAATGATGTTGGATTTCACAGAATGCCGTAGTATTCAGATGTCGGAAGTGCTGTAACTAGCAGTAATTTTCGCGATTTTTATCAGCATGGGCCAGACCAGTAATGGTTTAGAGTTTCTCTTATTGATGATGATAATTCACTTGTATTCAATTAATCTCCATAACTTTCTTTTCAGAGTGGACGGCAGACACAAAGAGCTATGTCAGGACCTAAACCATCTGAAGTGGAACTGTCAAATCAGGTGAAATGTTATTTTGAGTATAAAGATAATGTGGAAGAGGTTTCTATAAATCAAAAATGGAAGCTTGAAATTACACATTACTATTAGTATGAATTTTTTGGAAATTTTTTGGCAATTGTTTGCTTTTTTCAGGAATATGACTTGATGAAGAAACTATTATTACAACAAGATAGTCAAATACGTGAACAGTATCAAAGCGAGGTAATTTAGTTTTCTTTAGAATCAGTATTTTTATGGGGCAATAGCAGGCCAGTAAGGTTTGAAATTAATTGTGAACTGACAGACGGGTGGACATTATGACAACACTATACTCCCATGTAATATATGGACATATTAAAACTGACAATTTGTATTTCTTAGAAAATTTATGACACTTGAGTCAAAATACCCATAATTAATAGGTTTTTTTTATTGTTTTAAATGTGTCAGTATATAGGATAGACCCATAATTAATATTATTATTTTGTTATTAATCCATTAAACAGGGAAAAATGGAATCTACACAGAAAAGACTTGATTCTACATCAGAAATGAAAGAGTCAGAATTAGAACATGGAGAAAGGGTAAAAATTATTAAAGCTTATCAAATAACTCTATTTCAAATTGTGGCACAGTGGTTGCCTTCAAATCTTGTGGGATTTCTGGTTTCCTCCCACAAAAAGACCCTAATCAAGTATCTTATTGAAATTAACAATGTTAGTCCTGGAATGACCTTGTTATCATCATACAAATATATTCGAATTTAAAAAATTTAGTGCTATTTTAACAAAAATTGGAAATTTACGATATTCACTATTGATTAAACCTTTTACCAGTTTGGGTCTAGTTTAGGAAATATTCAATAAGATTGAATCAGTGAAATGTATTAACACATTAAACTATATGATTGGAAGGATGTACATTTTGTAGACGTGTAAAACCCATGGACTAATTGCTTATTTGAATCAAATCAAATATTTTGATATTAATTGAATAAAGATTAAGTACAATATATACAAATACCGGTAGTAAAACCAGTATTCTATATGTGATTACTATCGTGTTGTTTTGTAGAATACATTTGAAGATGAAACAGAATATTTAAAATCAATTGTCAAACGTCCTGACTTAAAACTCACAGATGAGGTATAACTTCTTATTTTCTTATCTCACCGTTCTCTTCAAATTTACAAATCCTCTTGCTAAACTATCTCACAAACTGGTTGTAGTCTGGTAGGAATCACAAATTTAATTGTAAATCTACTTTTTAACATACATTAATAAAATATAATTTTATATGAATAAATTCATATATATACAGTATGGCCACATAACATGTATTTTTTTGCTAGATTTACCAAAGAACCACATACTATTGGGGCCAAAAACGTTTTTATAATTTTGATCTATATAGATGTTTCTCTTTACGTATATCAATTTTACTTAGATAATTATGATTCTTGACAGATTAGAAAATCCAATCCTTAACCCTTGTTCTGACAATGACCCCACAATAAATTTTATTGTTTTGTAGTATTTATTGTATTTGAATGATACCTGTCGATATGTCAACTCAATCTTTGATGCTTTAATTATTAGGTTGACAATAAGTTAAGAATTACAGAAAAGACTAAATATGTGAACTTACCTGATGATTCCAATATTGATGAGGTACAGTATTTCATCTTTTATTACAAAGTATATTAGGATTTTACTATAATATAATATAGTCTCAAAAACCCAAACTATTTATTACAATGTATACTAGGTCTTTACAAACCCAAACTTTACTATATGAAGTCTCAAACACCCAAACTATTATGTTACAATGTATTCAGTGCTCACTCTGGGTTTCATTTTTTTCTGCCAATTTTTCATTTTAATTTATTAAGCATATGATTTTTCCTCCCCAAAAAATTTAATAATCAGTAATTTTTATTATATTTTTACATTTTTACGATATAAATATATACAATATACATAAAATGTTACAATTAATAAAATTCTTCTCTGCTTTGCAGATGCCCCATTTTTGAAAGCTTTTTTAGTACACTGTAAAGGTAGCTGAGTTACAAGTGGAACAAACATTGTTTTGGTAGCTGCATCATACCTTAACCTAGAATTTGAAAATCTCCTTTCATCACTAAAAGATCTACCTTTTTCAAATACACTTAAATTATACGCTTGTCATATGGTGGTGGCATACTAAAATAATCTGACATTCTTCTATTATTATTGGACGTTAAAGAAGGCTGTTCAATTTTTTGCTTACGACACATAGCATATGATTTGATAATAACTGACTTTCGACGCATAGCTTCATTTATTAACAGTACCGGCAACTAAAGTAAGAAAGTCAAACAAAAGGCATAATCCAATAACACCAAATAAATTGAACGAGTATTGTTCATATCCGCCATTTTGAATATATACATATACATATATCAAAAAACCCCACCGATTTGTATTTGAAGACAAACGATTAAATCTTTTGTCTCTTAATTACTTTATTACTACTCTTACTGTAAATACTTATCCACACTAATCCCAGATTGATTAATAGACAAAAGATAGCCCAGACAAACTGAATAAAAATATTGCTTTGAAATAAAAAATGTATGTTATCTGTAAGATTTACTATAGTTTATTTCATTAATATATTTCTTTCTTTCTTCTGATATTTTGTTGATATCTTTGGCTTGACTTTTGTCTTATTTAGAGATTCTTGGTATATATATATTATTCAATATTACAGGTTAAAGTAATTTTGAATAAATTGTTAAAACGTCAAGAAATTGGAGTGGAATCTTTAGAGGTAAAAATTTGTAAATCAGAAATATGGTGTCGTCCTTTCCCTGTCCAATTGATTTATATTTTCTCACTCCTGTCCTGTATCCGATCTAATTAAGTAATCTGTGTTAAACTTTAAAACTGATATAAATCAAACTTTAGAATGTAACCATTATCTTAAAGTTACGAGAGATCAATTCATCAGTTCAAGTGTGATTAATTTTCCATGACTTTAGAGAGTCAGCTTAAATGTGAGATATAGGGGAAACTCTGGTGCCATGATCATATGGGCTACTTACCAAAAACCACCTTTTATGTACAATGTAGTAGACAACTACAGAAGGATTAAACTGTGATTAAACCTATTTCTTCCACACCCCATTTATAATTCAATTTTTATTTTTTATAATTTTTAGGAGAGGAATTTTGCAGAAATATTTTCTAATTATGATGATAGTGAAATTGCTCATTTAGTTGATGTAAGTACAATGTATACATGTAATATTGTAGTCCTATAAAAAACATATTTGTACTAGTCTCAAATTGTTCTTTTAAATGATTTTTCTTGATATTTATATTTGAAGTAATTATCTTTTTGGATTTTAGGGGGGTTGGATGGCCGAACGGTTAGCATTTGCGTGCTGTATCATAAGGCCTGTCATTGAGTCAACTGGCTTGGTTTCGAATCCCCGGTTGTACGTGACAAGGGGTAGGGCCGCCTGTCCAACTTCGTTAGTTTTCTCAGGGTCCTCCGGTTTCCACCCACTGCTAAAGACCCCTATGTGCAAGCGAATTATTGAAATAAAATTAAACCATATGTTAGTCCCGAAATGACCTAGTTTGTGGATGTTAAACCCTCCCTCTCTCTCTCTCTCTCTCTCTCGCTCTCGCTCTCTCTCTCTCTCTCTTGGATTTTATAGATGATTAATATTATCCACCAGGTAGAAAAATATTGATTCTCTATTCATAAATATTGTATTTTATACAGCAATATATGGAAATAGCTCTGCGTCGAAAAGACTCTGTGATAGAGACATACAAGGTAGGAATTTGTTCTATATCATATTACTCGGTTGGACTAACTAAAAAAAAAAAAACGTGCTATGTGAATTTCTCAAAATAAAGAAAGTGGTATAAGCACTTGGGATTCCTCTGACATTTTTTGTTTACCTCAAAAATACCTTGGGACACAGATGTTACCATGAAGCTCAGAGATAAACATAAAATCACTTGTTTGGGCAATAATTTCAGGCAGTTTCACTATGTTCACGATCAAAAGTCCCTGGGTTCCAAAATAATTGACTCAACAATATGGAGAGATGGGAGAATTATCATTTTGAATGATCATGTGATAGATGGCAATGTCATGTCCGTTAATCAAATAGCTACGTATGAGTGACATGCATCTTATTTTTGTAACCATTATCTTAGAGATTTTTAATATCAAATTTGCTATATAATCATACAACAAATAAATTTGATACCATTTATTATAATTTACTAATACAGCGGACATAGCCCTGTTACTTGTGTTGTAAGAAAATAACCCTTTCACATGTATTGAATACCCCTGTTCCTTGAAGAAAACAGAGAAAAGTGATATAGTACACTACCACTGGATAGATTGAAACAATCCGAAACTGATGTTCCTTAGATCACCTCACTCAAACTATCTGAGATATGTGAATAGCTTACCATATTATAGGACCATTTATAAGTTTGTGCAGACATGACAGCTGTGCACTTGGCAGGGTGGTCTAAGGAATCTTAGGTAAGGCATTTTGGGTGGGCGAAGTGCTAAAGGGTTACTCTGGTATCTTGTTTTTTTCTATAGAATGCTGATTTTATGAATAGAGCTTTACTTAGGCGTTTCTCTTATGCACACAAAGTCATGGAGGTAAGAAATAATTAATTACTTTAATACTTATATGAAAAGGAGCCATGGTGGATAAGTGAATAAGATGCTGGCTTGCTAGTCAGGAGGTCGCGGGTTCGATCCCGGTGTTGGCCTAGACAGCTGTCTAGTCGTTCAGATGGGACAAAAAAACAAGGTCCTGTGTACACATTGGCGTGCATGTAAAAGATCCTTTGACCGTTGGAATTCGATATAGGAGTAACCTGTAGCATTGCTGTCCGGGCAAAATTTCCCTCATTGCACACAGTATGGCGTAAGCCCATCTTCATTAGCCCAGTTCGAGCAGAACCCCATTTCATTTCATTTACTATTATGAAAGTCTTATTGTATTAATATCTTTAAATCACTAAAAGTATAATTTCATTCAGTATAAGATAATTACAATGTTGTAATTGTAGGAAAAAGAAGAATATTTAAGAAGTATTTTACATCAAGAAGATTCAGGAATCAATGGATATACTGTAAGACATGTGATTTATTTTGATTTAAAATACAAATGTGACGCCATCCTTTGATGTTGGTGAACCATTATTTGTGCTCATACTGTAAAATACCTGGTAGTATTTGATGTATTTTTATTGTAACTTGTATTTGTAGAGTGGAGATACAGTTCAGAGCAGAAGTTATAAAAAACAAGAAGCTGGGCGGCATATTGTAAGTTATAATATATTAGTAATGGGATTTTATTGTCCTCTGCCTTTCATAGAAATCAGGGGACTATTAAGATAGGTTTGGCTGACTTTTTGGAAATGAAATAAAAGTATAAATTTTGAAATGCAGAGATCTGTCTTCGATAAAGATAAATCAAATAAAAAAATTCCCATAAAACGAAAACTCTATTTAAATCTTGAGTAAAGACATATCATTTCTATTTATTTAGGATGAAAATCATTTAAAACATGGTTTAAGTCATCAAGATTCTGGTATTACTAGAGATATGTCCGATAGTTCTACATTTAGTCACGGAACACATCCAGGTACGTATAGAAAACTGTAAACTATACCCTTCAGTGATGATTCCATCTCACTCCTTTCAACCCTATTTCCTGCAAGTGGCTTTATTATGTCTTTTGACCACCCACCAGAAAATTTTCGGCTTATTGTTATTTTAAGGCTTTATTGGAATTCTTACTTATCGTTTTTAAGGATGAATTATGTTGTATATGAGTGGAAGCATTTTCAATACAAAGATGAGTCACATTATTTCGAAATTAATCACATTTTTTTTTTCTTGAAGAGATTGATTATGCTTTTTTATTGATGTTGATGGTCTGAAGGTGTTACGTTAAAATATGACAGTCATTATATTAAATTATATACTAATACAAATGAAATGAAATAGGGTTTAACGTCCTACTGTTCTGCTTCGAATTGGGCTAATGAAGACGGGCATACGCCATAGTGTGCTATGAGGGAAATTTGGCCGGACAGTGGCACTATGGCCTACTCTTATATCGAATGTCAACTGTCGAGGGATCTTTTACGTGCACGCCAATGTGTACGCGGGACCTTGGTTTTTCGTCCCATCCGAACGACTAGACAGCTGTCCTTGTCAGCCCTCCATCCTGCATCACTGACAAGGGGGGAACCACGCCGGAAAATCTGGATGAACTTTCTCGGCCTATGCAGGGATCGAACACCTGACCTCCAGGCTAGCCACCGTGACCCCCATGGGCCCCATGTACTAATACAAATATTATGTTTGTTTATTGAAGGGGCTAAAGGTGGTATGTTAAAATATGATGGTATATTATCACCAGTTAAATCATGTTCTAATATAGATGATAAAATACCGACTAGATCTAGACATGGTAGTCCAGTAAGAGGTATATGGAATTTTTGTATTAAATTAGAACAGATACAAAAGTTATACGGCAAGCTTGATCCTTTTGATTGCTTCTCAAATTGGTCTGAAATGTTATTTTAATATTTCATCTGTCGGAATTATTGAACCAACTCTATTACCACTACCATCATATGTATGGCGGGGTATCAGGTTCAAAATGCGATCTGCAGTAGAAAGTAGAAAATAAAAAGCAAAAGAGAAAATTCTTATCCAAAATGGACATTTTCGTGTGGGAAATATATACCGCTCGTGCTTTTCAACCTAATACGTCCACCTTTTCAACTTTAAATCGTAAATATTCTACTTTCAACAACAGAATTTCTACTTTCAATAATCAACTTTTGATATTCGACTTTCAACTTCAGATTTTCTACTCAAGATTTTCTGCTCGAGATTTTCTCCATGCATATTACGGAAATAAATTTGATCACGTGACTATTTCTGCATGTCATTAAAATACGGTATCTATGGGATCGTTTATTTTTACGGGAAAATACTGTATTTTAATGACATGCAGAAATAGTCACGTGATCAAATAAATTTGATCACGTGACTATTTCTGCATGTCATTAAAATACGGTATCTATTGGATCGTTTATTTTTACGGGAAAATACCCTATTTTAATGACATGCAGAAATAGTCTCGTGATCAAATTTATTTCCGTAATATGCATGGAGAAAATCTCGAGCAGAAAATCTTAGTAGAAAATCTGAAGTTGAAAGTCGAATGTCAAAAGTTGATTATTGAAAGTAGAAATTCTGTTGTTGAAAGTAGAAATTATGTTGTTGAAAGTAGAATATTTACGACTTAAAGTTGAAAAGGTGGACGTATTAGGTTAAAAACCCCGAGCGGTATATGTTTCCCACACGAAAATGTCCATTTTGGATAAGAATTTTCTCTTTTGCTTTTTATTTTCTACTTTCTACTGCAGATCGCATTTTGAACCTGATACCCCGCCATACATATGAGCTTCAATTGACCGGCTTCTTCTGGCTCTTATTAACCGATGTTAAGTGAATTATTACATCTGTGTAAGCGCAATTAAGCATGGTCATAATTAATATTTGGAATATTAATCAACTTAGAGGATGTTTATTGTTTTTCAGATAAAAAATGGCAAACATTTTTAGAAACACCCTCTG